CTGTCTAGGTCTGGTCCGGCTGACCAAGAGTTGGTCAGCCGCTGACCAGATTCTGGGACAGGCGGACCGAGAAATGACAAGTCGGACCGAGCTGACCAAGAAGGGTCTTGGTCCGGAGCTGACCACACGTGGTCCGCCGGACCAAGCCTTCAGGTCAGCCGGTCCGTGGGTCTCGGACTAAGCTTGGTCCGCCGGACCAAGCTCCTAGTCCGGCGGACCGGGATCCGAAAAATTTCCAAATATTCGTTTTTAAGGTTTTCTAATCTTATTTAAGTTTGGGGTTTCGTCCAAACTTAATTAAGGCCGACCTAAAACTCAGAGAAACATCCTAGAACCCTAGAGAAGCTGTTCTCTTCGATTTCTATTGTCCCGGGATTGGATCTCGTCTCTTGAGTTACCCTTTTCTTCACTAATCCTAGCAGATTCGTTCCAAATCGTTTGGAATCCTTCCCGTCGGTGTGGATACGTGTAGAGGAGCTGTACTTTCAGCTCTTGGTGATTTAGAACAGGTCCCGGATCGAAATAAACTTCAAGTCTCATCGAGAACGAGATAAGTAACGATTCCCTCGGTGATATACACGATTAAACGGGGTTTTACGGATGATTTTGGTTGCGTGTGACGTTTGACTAGGTTTAGATTATCCTTCCGCTGCATGAAACCTAGTAAACCAAACCCTAGATCGATATGATCGCATGATAGGAATCCGTAGCAAAACCCAATAATTATTATGATTTCTCTAATTCATAGTGTTTTGGAGTAATAATTTTATTCGGTGAATAGAATATAAAGTAATGAAAGAGATTTTTTTTAATATCCTTTTGAGAATAATTAGGTATTCGTCAATTTCCAAAAGCTAGAGTGTTGTGGTTTTTGTTTGAAAATAATATCAAGTTGGCCATCTTAGAGTGGCATTTATGTAATAAACAATACAACCGTGGGCTTTTATATACCTAACGGACTTCAAACCAGCTTGTATATAATCTTTCGACTCCATAGTTTATCCGCGTTCCATCTTTCACTCAAACACATACACACGGAGTAAAACCACCACTTATCACCCCTGTCAAAAATGGCGCGCACCACCACAGCTCCGCCACAAATCTCCGACTCTGGAGATAGGATCTCCGATGTCCATCAGGACATCATCGAGACTCAAATCTTGACGCGCCTCGACGGGCTGACCCTTGCCTCCATAGTTTATCCGCGTTCCATCTTTCACTCAAACACATACACACGGAGTAAAACCACCACTTATCACCCCTGTCAAAAATGGCGCGCACCACCACAGCTCCGCCACAAATCTCCGACTCTGGAGATAGGATCTCCGATGTCCATCAGGACATCATCGAGACTCAAATCTTGACGCGCCTCGACGGGCTGACCCTTGCCTCTGTTAGAAACTTTGATTCAAAGCCTACAAGAAGTAATCATAGAAACACGTGTAAGTTAATGACGTGGAAGAAAAGGAGTTAAGTTTTTGGAGCAGTTATGGAAGGAGTTCTAATTGGTTTTTTCATCAGTTATTTTTTGTGGTTATAAATATGTTTAGTTATTAGTGGAATATTTTATTGCAGATTGGTTTTTGTGTCTGCAGTCTTTGAGAGGTTTTAAAGCAACATATGTTGAGAGGAAACCGAGTTATATGGGGTTTGTTTGTGTATTTGTGTATGTATTTGTGTATTGTGTTAATGTAAGAGTGTTTTATTTGAAAAGTTATCATGGTATCAGAGCGTTTTGAGATCTTTTTGGGATTTGTAGGAGTATGGGTCGAAGAACGATTCACTTTCGGTATATGATTTGTTTCTTAGTTGGGTTTGTGTTTTTTTGTGTTATTCAAAGAGAGACGAAAGAAACACTTTGATCGAAAAGTGTTTAAAGGGTCTCGTGAAAGGAATAACACGAGTTTGATGGATACAGCGGTTCGATATTCATCGGACCAAGTGGGAGAAGAACGACGAGTTCGATCGATGAATCGGAGGAGAGTCATGACGATGAAGACGGCGATTCTGGTGGCATCGAAGATTATTATGATATTTGTCGGGTTTATGTCGTGAACCCGGAAGTTGCGAATCTGAGAAGGGGCAAATGTGCACTCAGAAAATACAGTTGAGAAACCGAGATGAGACAGTTTTGCACTCAGGAGAAAAGAGATTGTTACGAAGGAAGAAATATGCGCCAAAGTCTGATCGATGACGGAGGCTTGTGATGTGAGACTTTGAATCAAGGAGGAGTGTTAGAAACTTTGATTCAAAGCCTACAAGAAGTAATCATAGAAACACGTGTAAGTTAATGACGTGGAAGAAAAGGAGTTAAGTTTTTGGAGCAGTTATGGAAGGAGTTCTAATTGGTTTTTTCATCAGTTATTTTTTGTGGTTATAAATATGTTTAGTTATTAGTGGAATATTTTATTGCAGATTGGTTTTTGTGTCTGTAGTCTTTGAGAGGTTTTAAAGCAACATATGTTGATAGGAAACCGAGTTATATGGGGTTTGTTTGTGTATTTGTGTATGTATTTGTGTATTGTGTTAATGTAAGAGTGTTTTATTTGAAAAGTTATCAGCCTCCATCTCCTGCGTCTCCTCACAACTCCACGATCTCGCATACGATGAAACCCTCTGGTCAAAGCTCTGCCACTCTATGTGGCCTTCCACCGCCGATCCCGCCATCTGCCACGTCATCTCATCGTTCCCCGGCGGCTCCCGCTCATTCTTCTCCGACACGTACTCCGTAATCACCGGTGGCACCGACGGTGAATACGACCGTCTGATTCCAAAATTGATTTCCGCTGTGGATCTGCACTACAGGGGGAAGCTGATCTTCAGTAAGGTCGTGGAGACGGATACGACGACGGCGTGGTTCCAGAGTTCGCCGTTGAGGATCGATCTGGTGGATCCAAAAGACATGATAGCGACGTCGATCACGCGTCGCCGATCATCGTTGCCAGAGAATGAGAGCACGTGTAGAGATCTGGAGGAGGATATGACGTTGAGCTGGATCGTTATCGATCCAATCGGACGGCGAGCAGCGAATCTATCCAGCTACCGGCCTGTTTCGGTGCAACGCCACTGGTTCAGCGGCGAGATTCATGCGCGTTTCGTGGCGGTCGTAAGCGGAGCCTCCGGAGTAGGCGGCGCAACGGAGGAGGAGAAGGTGGTGGAGTGCGGGATCACGGTGGTCACGTGCGGAGAAGGGGAGATGCACGTGAGGGAGGTGAACTTGCAAGTGGAGGACATGGAAGGGATGCATTTGAACGGGAGTGACACTTTGGTAATTTTACGAAGGGCGATGGAGGGTGAAAGGGGAAATGGGAAAATGAGGGAGGAGGGAGGGAGGAGACGACACGTGGAGTTTATGGAGGAGAGGAGGGAGAGGAAGGAGATGAAGCTGAGGGCAGAATGGGTGTTCGATATTTTGTCCGTCGCAGTTGGGGTTTTGTGTTTAGCTTCCTTCGGGTTTTACCTTTGGTGGCTATAAATTCTTTTTTTTTTTCACTTACAGAGAATATTATTATACGAAAGTTGATACAAAATAATCAAACCAATTGTTCAATAATTCATTTCAATTTACACAAATAATTAGAAATACACCAACTCAAAGGACATGTCAAGGGCCTTAAAGGATATGTTTAGATCCGATATAAAATAGAAAAAACAAAAATTCAAAACTGAGCAAAATCCGAGAATTGGATATGAAAATAATTGAAAAAATAAAAACATTTTTAGATTTAACATTTTTGTCAATAAAAAACAAATATAAATAAAACTAACCCAAAAAGGCGGATAAATATATTTTCTAAAGCCAAAAAATACCAAAAAAAAACCATATCGAATCCAAACCTAAACCCCTCAATGTCAACACCTACCTAGTACGGTAAAAAATGTAAGCTTAAAATTATGAGAGAGAGAAAATGTAGCATTTTAAGATAATTATCTTGTTTTTTTAGGATTTACACGGAACGCAAAGGATAGTGTAAAATGTAAATATTTCACATTATCGAAAAGTAAACGACGGGAAAAAGAAAAAAAGAAAAATCAATGATTCTCTCTAACAAAGGCTTAAAAGATACAGAACACTGATGAAGAAGTCTGAGAAGTTCATTTTCTACAGTGAAAAAAATATCATGCAAAGTGAAGTTTCTAAAACATATACAATACCTTTGTACACACGTTCTTCGAGGTTTTCAGTTTGGTTTGTTCAATGCTTGGTAGAACATCTCTACGAATCTATCATCCTGATGCATGACATTTTCGAACCAAATCATCAGTCGCCAAGTAGAAATATTTGTAATTGCACCACCTTGCCATTTCGGTTCGGTTATCCAAAGCCAAATCAAATTTTAAATAACTGTATCTAAATCGAATTTGATATAAAATTTGAAAGATCCAACAAGACTGAATATTAAAAATTCCTAAAAACCAGAAGTTTCTTTAGAAAATAAACGTTTTTATTACTGAAAAGTGAAAACTCAAACGGGGTCGATTTCAATATAAAAAAATTAAGGGATGTAGTTTTAGAATCCTCAAAAGTCAAAACCCAAAAATAACTTAACCAAAATGATCATTCACCGTCATTGAATAACAAAATACTACAATGAACATTTATCCAAACTGAGTCCAGAACAAAACCGAACCGAATCAAATCATATTGAGTAAGAAAACCAAATGGATATAGTTTTAATAAATCCACAAAAATCCGAACCCCATCTGACACCCGATACGCCCACCCGCCATCTTTGAATAACATTATATCGCTATCTGTGTTTTTGTCAAAAGATGAGAGGGATTTCGAGGATTACAGAAACATAAAAGGAACCTTTTCCACAATAATATAAATACTCGAAAAAAAGCAGTTCATGCAAGCAAGATTATCGCTAGACATATTTTTTGATCCGAGCAAGCTCATCAAAATGATTAAAGATAAGACAGGAAAAAATGGGAAGAGTTATAGGAAAGACGTGCCTGGGCAACCGTTAGAAGGGCGTCACGGACTTTGTCTCTGTCAAAACCGAAAACAGATGGAGAAGCAAGGGGAGGAATTAAAGACTGAGGAAGAGTAGCGGGTGGGAAAAGGTCGAGTATTCGAATGCTATTAGGGTGTTGTTGCGAATTCGGGGGAGGAGGCTGAGGAGCAGATACTGTTATGGACTCCAAGGATTGAGGCGGTGTATAGAATGAAGACGGTTTGATGAGCTCCGTTGCAGCAGTAGTAAGGATTTCGTAGTTAAGACGGAGGAGGTTTGAGAACTCGTGGTTCAGTGTCTGAGCAGAGGATGACTGACAAACCCCTGCAGAGGAATAGGTGAGACTCGGGATTTCAGAAGAGACGGGAAATGTTGTGTCTGAAGGGTTATTGGGAAAGTATCTATGGCTCGGGATAGTTGGATTGTTTCTTCCCTTATTTATTGCTGCCTGCAGAGACGGTATGAAGACGAGGATAATGTTCGGAAATAGAGATTTGATTCAGAATGATGAAAGAAGAGTATTCTCAAAGACATACATTAAAGAGATCCATAAGATTCTGATTCTGAGGAATCTGCGACGTAGTAGAGATTGCTGATGCATGATGCTCTCCACCGCCTCGTGTCTGTAAAATTGTGGGGATTGCTGCAGTTTCTTCGTACTTGCTATATTAAATCGAAAAAGGCGAGAAATTTAGTGAGAAATCTACGCAAAAAGATAGATAAATTGGAAATACTAATTATGCTAAGGGACGCGGAATAGAAAATTCATGAGCATATCCCGTTAAGCAAATATATATTTGCATTTCCCAGCAGAAATGTAGCAGTGAAATGAGCCAATTCGAGTGTAAAATAAAAACACTCTACAGAACAACCATAAAAGGTTTTATCTGAAAGTTTCAGCATTTCTTACTTTTCAACTGGCACTACTCCGGGGTTTACAGCCGGAGGAGACTTCGAACAGATACTGAGTATCCTACAAGAGGAAGGAAATGACTCACCTAAGAAATATGTCTTCCCTAAATTTTAGAAATACCTATGGAAAAAAAAATTATCAACTGAAAGAGATGATAAAGTTGTCTTCTTCCATAGTTAATGTCAAGTTAGCCCAAATTTCAGAAGAATGAAATGAGATAAATAAATTATACCTACTTAGGAGATTTCCAACCTCTTCACACTCATTTGAATTGAAAAACCAAATTCCATTAACTTCCTGAGACGCGTTTCGAGATAGCAAATATGGACGCTGAATTTCGAACTCAAAATCTTCAATAAGATTTTCCACCCAATTATCTGCTCATACAAGTAGCAAAAGAATCGCATGAGAAACATTTGGACACAAATTATGCTTTCATTGTAAGAAGCTAAGACTTAGGGAGGGGATTTCTTACGACACCATTTCCAATACATGACTAAGTTATATTGATAATTCATAGATGATAGATCCTAGATACTACATGACACCCGGTGAACTAACTCGCTAAGATTTATGGATTGGAGAGTAACCCGGCATTCTTAGACGTGAATAATCAGGGCACAAATTATATGCTTCATTGTAGAGGTAAGCCATTTCCAACACAGGACTACATTATAATATCGATAGTTCACAATTAACAGACGCTCCGTACCACGACATTGGTGAACTAATTCTCTAAGATTGGAATAAGATATCAACTCAAGAGTACCCTTGATTAATTCATCCCATCACAAGATTTCCAGCATAACATTACCTACTATCTCAGTACAAAATATAACCCATCCGAAACAGTACCTTCCCGACGAAAAGTTCAAAAACTAAGCTAGTTTTGGTAACAGATAATCACGACTAAAATCCGAACCTGTACGGAGTCGATTCATGACGATAAACTGAAATATCGGCTGCGTATTCCTACAAGAACAAGACACTGAATCGTGATGTTCAAATCCTAACACACTTCTTCATATTAGTTGCTACAAGAACAAGGCAGTAATTAACACTACCTCTTAACGACAAACAGAGGCCCTTCAACTTTTTTGCGACCCTGCAGAGAACAAATTCAGGACAAACGATGCATTCATGAAGATCAAATCCGTTCGTAGAAACGAAATACAAAGGCAAAAGATGGAAAATGAATCGAGATTTTCTCTCATATTCTCAGCAACCAAACACGCGTACATGATTCATCAACGAAAGAGAAGGAAGATCCAAGATAGTCTAACCGATCTTATTCCGTTCGTGGAAAAGCGACGAGACCAAAAGCAATGACAAAGGATCAAAACGAATCGAGATCTTCTTTCATTTTCTCAGCGACCAAACAAGCTTATGTGCTTCGACAAAGAAATAGAGTGAAAAATTTACCAAAAAAAAAAAATAGAGTGAAAATTCAACATAGTCCCAGCCTCCGTCGATTTCACGACAACCAAATAAAGCCGTCAGGTTTCATCAGCACACACATACAAAGCACAACACAGCAAACAGCCAAACATAGATCCAAATTAAAACGAAATTTCTCACGGTTTCTCGGCAGGCAAACAAATCAGCGAGAAAGTTGGGGAGAAATGGACGAGAAAACGCACCCACTGGCAGCTCTCGGTGTCGAACTCATACAGCGCGACGTGAGCTGCGGTGAAGAGAATCTCTTCGATATGTCGATCGAATCTCTGCAGCACACTGAGATTGATCTGTTTGGTGGTCTCCGGATCGAGATTAGGAGTCAACTTTCCCGACTGAGACATTTACGGATGAGATTTTCTCGGCGATTTTACCCTGAAAATCACAGTGAGACAAAAAGGGAGTCTCCGCAGAATCACACCCCAACTGGAGGCCAATTCACTCAAATACACCACTGGTACACAAAAAAAAAGCAATTATGTTAAACAAAAAAAAAATCAATTATCAAATGTATTTTTTACCCTTACAAAATTTGGAAAAGGCCAATTAGTCGTTACCTACGGATTATATCACAAATACTCTTATTTTGTTATTTTTACTTTAACACGTACCCTTTCCAACTGTGACCATATGACCCATATGATCTAAAATATAGTATGATCATATTTTGATTTTATTGATTATAATATTAAATTTATGGTGATCATACTAATTCATTATATTTATATATTGTATATCTTACTAATCATTTCATTAAAACATCATAAATTTAACGTTATGAGCAATGAAAACCATACGTGACCACACTATATTTTGGATGACATGGATCACATGGTCAAGTTAGAAAATGATATGTGTTGAAGTCAAAATAACAAAGTAAGGATATTTTTTATAATAACCCCATTAAACATGTGATCAAATATTCTTTAAAAAAACATATAAAAAGAGTATATATACGTGTAGGTAATCCTTTTCGATATAAAAGTAAAAAAGAGAGGAAAAATCTGAAATTTTGAGTTTTTTATGGTTTTAGAAATTCAAAACAAAAAGCGAGAGGAGGGGAGGAAGTGCATAAACAAGTGACCGAACGACGATTTTGAAACAAATCGATGAAGAACAACGAAATCGAAAGAGAAGCGATGAAAATGGGGGTGCATCGTCAAGTGAGAGAGATTCTAGTGAAGTGAAGGTTTCATCTCAGTTTTCGTTCAATATCTTATATGGATTAATGTCATATTGTAACTTAGAATTTGTAAAGTGCCTCATACGAATTAATAAATAAGTAATCGTATTGAAATGAGTTACGAATTCTATTATATATTTGATGAATCTATTTGTTTTGTTATAGGTTATTTGATATACTCAAAGGTGAATTCTATTATGAATTCGACGATATGAATAAGATTTCGGTGAAGATGTCATCAAAATATTTAGAGAAAGAAGAATAAGGAGTGTTCGGAAAAGAAGAACAAGAATGAGAGCCTGAGAAAGAAAAGATAAAGATCATGAAAAAAAATCTTGAACTCTGTTTTTATTCGTAAAAATTGAACCATATTGTGATATTTTCTATTTGTAAATATTTGAACTCGATATGATGTTTTTGTTGTTTGTAAACCTTAAAATTTGGTTGTGCTATTTTGTATTTTATATTTTTTTCAGTTAACACATGTAAAAAAATTAATCTATATGAAATCATAATTTATAAAAGAAAAAAAAGTAAATCGTAATTCATGAAAAAGTTAATCGCAATAGAACATTTATATTTTGACAACATAATTAGTGAAAAAATAAATTCCAATAATTAGTAAACGGTGAAAAAAAAGTGACAATTAGAAAGTTAGAAAAAAATATAAAAGTCAAGATTCACAAAAAAACAAAAAATATGTAAAATTTTGAATTTAAGCAGATTGCATCTGACATGTGACAAATGGACTGCAAAAAAAAAAGACGGTGATCACAACTATATTACAACTTATTTACGACTTTCGTTAATCATAATTGTTTAAAACTCATGAATTTTGACGAGTTTTTCGTCGACTAATGATGAAACCTTCAAAATAAATATTAGAAATTGATTAAAATGCACAAAATTAACAAAATAAAAAATTTGAATTTTTAAAAAAATGATGATTGAAAGTGTTCTTATGTGTTTAAGAAACATTATGTGGTATTTTGATTTAAACTTCTAGAATTTGTATAAAAGTTTTGTAATATGATTTTCAAACTCATGTTTTCTACTTAATTAATATATTGTTGGATTTGGGTTTATTTGATAGAATCAAAACGGGCCTAGCCCGTGAGAAGTCTGGTCCGTAAAAATTTTAGAAACTTTAAATCTGCAGAATATTAAGAGAATATCTTGTTTGAATTTGAAATTCAAATTGGATTCAAATCCGGAGAAAATCTATCAAATATGATTGAGATAAGATTGAGATAATATCAAGATAAAATCAAATTTGAATTTTGAAATTCAAATTGATTTATTTTGAGATTCTCCCCTCTACTATAAATAGGGGTCTTGGGTTAGCTCATAAATCACAGAAAAAAACAAGCATTCTAGAGAAAAAAAGAGCATTCACACATTTGTTCATATCTCTCTCTGAGTTCGCTTGGTATTTGGAAAGCTTCTTCCAAATACGCGGTCGTTGTATCCTGGGAGTTCATCGTGCTCCAATAGCCTCGAAGCTTTAGAGGTGGCACGGAAATCGAACTTAAGGAAACTGTGTTTCATAGGCCTCGATAAAATAATTTTTTAATTTCAGGTACTTATCTGGAACCGCTCGAATTGCCGGAGTTTTACCGTCGTCAACAACTGCCGTCCCCAACAGTCTTAAGTTCGATTATGGTTAATACGAGGCAAACTTCTCGGATAAGTGTCTAATTCTCTTTCAATTTCGGTATAAAACCTCACGCGAATTTGGATTTAAAAACAACTAGGCTAAAAAAAAGTGTTTGGGAAAAAAAAACCAAATAGTTGTTTTCTTTTTCAAATTTAAAATTGAAACCCAAATCAAAAGATGGTGTGAGTCCAAAAGAGTAAGTCCAAATTGAAAAGTTTTGTTTTTGTCCAAAAGCCCATAAGAGAAAGCCAAATATCTTATATTTAAAAGTGTTTTGTGAAAAAAAAAAGGAGAATATTTTTTTGAAAAAAAAAATTGGTTAAACAAAATCGAAAGTAACTTTTCCTGTAAATTGGGAAAGCAAGCTTTGTCTTAGCGGGCCGGGTTTAAAGAGGAAGCCCTTTATACCCTCCTCATAGTAAGGACGTGGGAATCGGGGTGAGCCCTCCGGCTATCACTGGAAGCGAGCCAAACCAATTTATAAGTTAAGTGATTGTATCTCGGACTTCATAGCCTCGCGCCATTTCTCAGAATCCGGACTCGCCATAGCCTCTGGGTATGTGGTAGGCTCATCATGTTCTAATAACATGAGTTCCTCATTCCCAGTTACGAGAAATCCATATCTCACAGGCTCTTGGCGAATCTTGCCTGATCTCCGAGGTTCACTCGTCGAAGGTTGAGTCACAACCGGTAGTGAAACAGGTTGAACTTCTTCAACTTGTTCACTCGGCTCAGCGTCTACTTGCTGCTCTCGAACTTCCTCAAGTTCGATCCTACTCCCACTGACTCTTTTGGAGACGAACTCTCGCTCCATAAAAGTCGCATTCCTAGCAATGAACACCTTGTTCTCTGTCGGAATGTAGAAGTAGTAACCCTTAGTTTCCTTAGGGTAGCCTACAAATAAACACTTATCAGATTTGGAGGATAACTTATCACTCATCTGACGCTTCACGTAAGCGTCGCAACCCCAAATTCTGACAAACGATAACGCGGGACGCTTCCCCGTCCATATCTCATATGGTGTCGTTTCAGCCGACTTCGTTGGACTCATGTTCAACAGGTACGCAGCGGTCTCTAAAGCATAGCCCCAAAAGGACTTTGGAAGATCTGTCTGACTCATCATAGACCGAACCATGTCTAACAGTGTTCGGTTCCTCCGTTCTGACACGCCGTTCCATTGTGGCGTTCCAGGAGGAGTTAATTGTGATACAATACCACAATCAACCAGATAGTCAGTGAACTCTTGGCTCATATACTCGCCACCACGATCGGATCGAAGTGTCTTGATCGTCTTGCCAAGCTGGTTCTGTACTTCGTTTCTGAAAGCCTTGAACATTTCAAGTGTTTCAGACCTATGTCTCATCAAATAGACATAACCGTATCGACTGAAATCATCAGTAAACGTAACGAAATACAGACAACCTCCTCTAGCTGGACAGCTCATTGGTCCGCATACATCACTATGTATCAGATCCAATAACTCTGTCGCTCTCTGTCCTTTCCCCTTGAAAGGATGTCCTCAAACATGGTCTTGAGCTGATTGATCATATCAAACACACTCTTCCCTTCAAACTGCCTCTGCAGATTTGGGGCCATGCTTCCCAACATGAGACAGGAAATCTCGATGTCGTTAGTCTGATGCTTCAACCAAGCATCTTTGACGGCTCTCGTGGCATTGGCTGCAGGCTCAGGTGGTAGAGCCCCTTCCAAGACGTAAGACTTCTTATTGTGCTTGAGAACAATTCTCAAGTTCCGATACCAGTCTAAGAAGTTTGTCCCGGTCAGCTTATCCTTCTCAAGGATAGATCGCATCGTCAAACTCGGTACGCTACCGGTTGACGCCATGTCCTACAAAAGAGAGAAAATAGAACGAACAAAACAAAATGCAGATTCTATCAATGATCTACTACCAGCTAGTCCACCATCAATCAATGACAACATAGATGCAAACACAAGCTATATTCCCATAAAGAAAAATAACCCTACAATAAATTTCTATATGGGACTAAGATCCGTATTTCACATAAGAACAAGTTTTTTACACTCAGCCTTATGCTATTTAGGTAGACATCTATTGTCAATCACATCCAATGTGATTCTTAGATCCTTTATGAGACTATGATATCAAATATCATTGCATACTTGTCTCATCTCTACCATTAAGTCTCAAGTCAAACTTGACAACTTAACCTAAGGTAAACCATATGTTGGAACCACGATTTTCTACCCTGCCTCACAAAGATAATCCGGCACGCTCAGCTTTGGCATGACCCGTGTTACGGACGATCGATGCCTTGACAGACGCTCTAGTAATGGGAGGTACACTCTTAGCATTACATGAACAAGGGATTTTCGAAACCGCACCTAGATCAAGCATCTACTTTCAAGCTATGAGAACCACCATTTCTCCATCTTGCCTCACCAAGATAATACGGCACACCCAGCTTTGGCATGGCCCATGACACGTACGATCGAGGCCTTGACAAATGCTTTACTCATAGAGCTTCTAGATCTAACCGGTTTCTGTGCAATGATTGTTCATAATCCGAATAGACCATCCATTCGATTATGTAATCCCAATCCCGGAGCTCCCACTCAATCAAGCATATCCTATATCTTGATTAAGTTACATGCATTCATTCGCTATGGACCATCTATAAGAATGAATCATGTCTATTTGAGTTACAGTTGATCACAATAAGCAATAATTGCGTAATCGGACCTCGAAAACGAAAAATTTCGGAGTCTGGACCTCAGACCGTCCATTCTGGAGGTAGATCCAGGCTTGCAGAACGGTCGGACTGAACCAGCCGGAACGGACGGTCCGCAAAGACGGAACGGACGGTCCAGAGCGGACCATCCGTTCTGATCTGTGCAGTCCGCCACACCCGGACCGTCCGGTCTGGGTTACCCAGAGCGGACGGTCTAGGGTTCGACTATGTGATCAGATCACGTTCTCCGACGTTTTCGGCCCCGATCAGACCCGAAACTGATCCGAATTCTTCTGTGAACCCAAAATTCGAACTCCTGCACTCTATTCAACATGAAACATGCAATCTACACTAGATTCAATCGTCAAACATGCATAGAAATCAAAGCAAAGATGGATTCAAACAATTCAAATCCTAAACGTGCGTGATCGGGTTCTACGAAATCAAAACAGAGTAACCAGGCTCTGATACCACTGATTGAATTCCTGGGATCTCTAGAGCGAATCCTATTCCTAAGAGATCGATTTTCGGGTTTGCGCAGCGGATATAAAACAAAAATTTAATAAACCCTAGAACCATGCTGCTATTGAATCGTAGAAATGTTAGAACGCTTACCTCAATCGATCCGGGGCCTGTATCAATCGAAGAATTCGTCTGGTCACGAAAGGGAGGAAGAGTACCTCGCCCTCTACACGTATCCACACCACGGGATGGATTCCAACGGTTGGAACTTGTCTGCTAGGACTCGAATCTGCTATTCGATTTGTGCTTCGAGAAAAACGGACTTTGATCACACCTCAACCTCTTGGATCTAACCAAAAGTCTGTAGGAAGTGTTCTAAAGTCGGCCAACAAAAGCTCTCCCTTAATTAGGGTTTTTAATCTCCTTCTTATAAGGTGATTTAACCCTAATTCGGTCTAATTTCAAAAAACCCGAAGTCTGGAACGGACGGTCCAGAAATGCACGTGGACCGTCTGTTCTAGCACGTAGAACGGACGGTCTGGCATTAGTGGACCGTCCGTTCCAGACCTTCTAGAACGGACAGTCCATTCTGGACCGTCGGGTCTGGCTTCGGCGGACCGTCCGTGATGAGGACATCGGAGCTAGCAACTTGGAAGAGGACGGGAGCTTAACGGAAGGAGCTCTAGAAGATGTTCAAGACTTGACCCATCAGGCGTCAAGACTCTTGCCGGATGATCATAACGTCACAAGATCATTCGAAGCCGCGGGAACGAGATTTGACGTGCACAACGCGAAGGCTCCCCGAGCAAGCCATAGACCCGAGCCCCCTCTTACTCATGCTAGAGCTCGAGTGCTTCGCTCATGCTATCCAAGGCTGTCACTCAAGTTTTCACGGAGTCCGGGATCATGACAATAACGTTTCAGTTTTTCGGCCAAGACTTGACCCGGAATGTGTTCCATATCAAGGTCGAAAGCTCTTAGGCCCAATGACTTCGAAGCAGGCCCATAAGCTGCCCAATTCAAGCCCAAATCAAAGTAAAAGCCCAGCCCAATAAATTCTAAGAAGTTCCAACAGCTATATTTTTCAAAATCTAGGCACATTTATGAGTAGTCTTGCATGTGTTTTGTGCATTTAATGCACTAGATGTTGGAGCCTTTGTTTTCTCTTTAAATATGAGTTGTAAGACATCATTTTGATCAGATTTGGTGAATGAAATTCGAGCTTATGCTTGAGACTTTGTTTGTTGAGAATTTTCTCCAAACTATCTTTCCGTTGGTGTGTCCGACGACGAGCTTCGGTGTGTCCGAGTTTTCTTTTCGGTTTGTCCGAATATTATCTATCTTTTACCCTTGTTTCGACTTTGGCTTGAGTTCGAGAGCCTTCATAGAAGTGCCGGTGATTGAGCCATCGTCCCGTAATTCCCCTTCGATTCCATCTATTTCCCAAGAGTGAATTCGAGCGCCTCCTTCGCGAGTGCCAGTGATTGCAATTGGGCCATCTCTATACAACTCCGAAGCCGGTGCGTGTATCAGTCCGTTCTGGACTTCTGGTCCGTCCGTTCCAGACCCTTCCGTCTTGGTTTTTTGGTCGTTTTTCTCGTGCATTTCGTCCTTCAATGCGTGTGTGACCCTGTAGGCTCATTCGATATAGCAGTATAACCCGAAATCTCTATTCCGGATATACAAGTCATAGGCGGTCTCTAGCAAGACACTATGACTACCTATCTCGAATAGAGTTTGTTCGTGATCTTACGAACACCAGTGATGATTCCGGTTGATGATCCTTTTGTATCGCGATATCATATGTCGAACATAAGGCATGGACAAGCCACCTTATCTGATTCGACTGCTTTCTCGTTCACTGAGTTCGACTGTCTGAAATAGACGAAGCTCGTCTATAGTGCGGCCACACATTTCTACAGTCTCGCTCACACGAGAGGCCCAACGATATCTCTCTCT